CACAGCCTTCAACATCAGAGGAATGTGGGTGGAGTTACAAGGCCAATATGGTCAAAGTGCCACATTTGGCTTCACTCAAGGACAGCGAGAAGTGAGCTTCTATATGACAAGATGGGCAACAAGCAGAAACTTCACTCCGACTGTACCCTTCTCCAGAACATCACTTTAACTGAGATCATTTATTCCCTAGATGACTCGAGTCTGGAACATGTTCATACATTATATTAGCGTAATAAAGTCAGTTGATCAAATAAAATTGCTGGCCCATAGATGGCTCCAACTTCATCCTGTTCCCTATTTGTATGTCTCATAAAAATAAAAAATCTTTCCAATGAGGTGATATAGGTAATAGATCTTAGCTTGTAAATAAAGTTAGGAACTTTATTTACAAGCAAGAAAGAAAGAGAAAAAGAGAGAGAAAGACAGAGAGAAATCACTGGTAAGATCCTTGAGACAATAATCTCAAGACAAATGACAGAGTGCTTTGACTACCACTCACTACTTTGTGATCGTCAATATGGCTTCAGGAAAGGTTACTCTGTGCTGATCTGTTGTTAAACCTCTCCACTAAGTGGCACCAGTCACTGGATGAATCCAAAGTCAGCTGTGTGGTAGCACTGGACATTGCTGGTGCTTTCGACCGAGTGTGGCACCAGGGTTTCTTAGCAAAACTTCAAGCACTGGGAATTGCAGGCTCTATGCTATGTCTCCTCAATGATTACCTTCATGGTAGATCTCTAAGTGTAGTTCTCAATGGAACGGAATCAGCAAGACATCCTGTTGGGGCAAGTGTTCCACAAGGAAGCGTGCTGGGACCATTGTTATGGAATGTCTACTTCAACAACCTTATGTAAAGTAAAAGGACACAAGTGCAACTAATGTGACATTTTATTGTGGCAACGTTTCGCTCTCCAGGAGCTTTATCAAGCCATTACAAACAATACATGGACACAGAGGGTATATATAGGCTCAGAGTGAGGTGCAATACTAGTGGTAGTAGTAGTTACAAAAGTTGTAGAAGTAGTAGTAATACAATATGGTAGAGCAATTAATTCGTACATGAGTAAAAGGATATAAAAGCTATTACTTGTTACCCAAGTAATAGCTTTTATATCCTTTTACTCATGTACGAATTAATTGCTCTACCATATTGTATTACTACTACTACTAAACTTTTGTCACTACTACTACTACTACTACTACTACCACTAGTATTGCACCTCACTCTTAACCTATATATACCCTCTGTGTCCATGTATTGTTTGTAATGGCTTGATAAAACTCCTGGAGAGCGAAACGTTGCCACAATAAAATGTCATATTAGTTGCACTTGTGTCCTTTTACTTTACATATTGTCGGTAATTCCACCAACTTTATTTCAACACCTTCTTCATCTCATCCCAGAATCCCATGCGTATGCAGATGACTGTACACTGACATTCACTTATCCAAGAGAAGAAATGCCAGCTGCTCTAAGCTACATCAGTTACCAGCTAAGAAGTCTCCCTTATTATCAACGCACTGAAAAGAAAAACAAGGCAGGAGATTTAAATACCTTACCACCCTTTATATACAAAAAAGCGTCACAAGTACTATCACCAATCATTGCAACACTCTTTAACAAATCCATTGAATCCTCCACCTTCCCTACAGTTCTCAAAATAGCAAGGGTCACCCCGATCCATAAAGGAGGAGACCAAACAGAGTTGAATAACTATAGGCCAATATTCAATTTACACCCTCTCTCAAAAATCTTCGAAAAATTAATTCATAAACGAATCTACTCCTACCTCATCTCCCAAAACATTCTCAACCCTGCAATTTGGATTCAGGCCTAATAAAAAATACTAATGATGCTATTATACACATGCTAGAACATATATACACTGCATAGAGAAAAAAGAAGTCCCACTGGGGATCTTCATTGACTTACGTAAAGCTTTTGATACAGTTGACCATGACTTGCTCCACGTAAAATTGTCACACTATGGTATTAGAGGGCACTCCCTCAACTACCTCAAGTCTTACCTCAGCAACAGAAGCCAATATGTGTACGCAAATGGGGCAAGCTCTTCCGCACAACCAATTACAGTTGGTGTCCCACAGGGAAGTGTCCTTGGCCCTCTTCTCTTTCTCCTATACATAAATGACCTACCAAATGCTTCGCAATTACTCAAACCCACACTTTTGCAGATGACACTACATACGTATTCTCTCACCCGAGCCCAGTCACGCTAGCCAATACTGTAAACACCGAATTACAGAAAATATCTACCTGGATGAGGACTAACAAACTTACACTAAACATTGACAAAACCTACTTCATTCAGTTTGGTAACAGAGCTACAGATGTACCTCTTAACATAACGATAAACGGATCACCTATCACAAAGCTAACAGAGGGAAAATCTTAGGAATCCACCTCGATAATAGACTCAAATTTCATACACATATACAACAAATTTCTAAGAAAATTTCCAAGACTGTAGGCATACTATCGAAGATACGGTACTATGTTCCACAGTCAGCCCTCCTGGCCCTTTATCACTCTCTTATTTACCCCTATCTCACCTATGGAATTTGTGCATGGGTCTCAACAACAATTAACCATCTCAGACCACTAATTACCCAACAAAAGGCTGCAGTTAGAATGATAAAAATTCTCACTACAGGCAACACACTCCACCAATATTCAAAACACTCAACCTACTCACCATACAAAACATCCATACTTATTATTGCACCTATTACATACATAGAACACTTAACTCTGATATTAACCCTCCCCTCAAACATCTCCTTGCCAACCTCAACAGAACACATGACCATAACACAAGGCACAGATCACTCTTTGATGTTCCTCGTGTCCATCTCACGCTATGCAAAAACTCAATGCACATAAAAGGCCCTAAAATCTGGAATTCATTACCTGTAAATATAAAAGAAACACTACCTGTTTATAAATTCAAGTCTCTTCTCAAAGTTCACTTACTCACTCAAAACCAAATAAATATTGAATAACTGAACCTTATAAATTGTATATCCAAAATGTTACTCACAATTATATCACATAAATGTTAAACCTAGGACCCAATCTAACTTTGTTATTTTTTTAAATACACTACTTAACAGAATACTCCATTCTACTGAATGAACAGCAATGCATGCAACCATATGACCTGTCTTTGTAATACTCATTTGTGCTTTATAGTTATCTGTTTACAATAATGTCTTATCACTGATTTTGTCATTGCTTAGTTAATCTTAAGTTAATTTTAAGCCAGCCCGTAATGCTATGCATATAAATGGCTTTGGCATGCTGCTCTTACCTGTATTTTTTTTGTACCTCTGTATGTATGCTAAAATTTCTAAATAAATAAATAAATAAATAAATAAATAAATAAATAAGAGCTATATCAGCTTGGGAAAATAGATGGCAAGTAACATTTGCACCTGAGAAAACGTAAATGATGATGGTCTTTAGGCACTATGATGGTAATGCTGGTGCAGTAGTAAGGATGAATGGGAGGGTGTTGGCACCTGGAGAAGACGTTGATATCCTTAGGGTGAAATTTGACTCCAAACTAACCATGAAGAACTGTGTTGTAAATCTTGCAAACAAGGCAGCCAGGAAGCTTACAGCACTTCGCCTTATCTCGCATCTGCTTGACAGTAGGGGTTGCAAGATTCTGTACGAGGCACAAGTACGCTCACACTTTGAGTATGCTCCACTTTCTTGGTTTGCCTGCCCCCCCTCTCATCTGCGACTGCTTGACAGAGTAGAGAACAGAGCAAGACGTCTCATCTCTCGCCTGGACCCATCCTGGATAGATCTGTCATTTCATCAGAGCTTTCAACACAGGAGGGATGTGGGTGGCCTTACTGTTATGTACAAGGCCAATATTGTCAAAGTATCACACTTGGACCCACTTCGAGGACAGCGTGAGACAAGCTTTTATGCCACAAGACGGGCAGAAAGCAGCAACTTCACTCTGGCTGTACTCTTCTCCAGAACATCACTCCATCTGAGATCATATATACCCAGGATGACTCAAGTATGGAACACATTCGTACAGCATAATGTCAACAAGATAAAGTCAGTTGATCAAATGAAAATGCTGGTTCACTGATGGCTCCAACTTCATCCTGTTCCCTACTTGTATGTCTCATAACAATAAAAATGCTTTCAAATGAGCTGATGTAGGTAACAGCTCTTAGCTTGCCAATAAAGTTAGGAATCCTTAACCTGTAAATAGCTTGTCGTCAATAAAGCTAGGGATCCTTAACCTAACCTGGTCAAACCCTGTGTTAAAAAAAAAAAAAAAAAAAGAGAGAAAGACAGAGAGAAAGAGAAAGAGAAAAAGAAAGAAAGAGAAAGAGAGAGAGAGAAGAGAGAGAAAAGAGAGAGAGAAAAGAGAGAGAGAGAAAGAGAGAGAGAGAGAGAGAGAGAGAGAAATATTTTCTGTTGAGAAAAGAAAGGCAACTGTCAATAGAGAACATAATTACCAGTGCTAATTGTGATGACAGGAGAACCAGACAGCTGAGAAAAGCGATGTCTTCTGTTAATATCCAAGATAAATTGTATCATTATTCTTTTCTCCAATAAAAATATTTTAAAATGCACTGAAAGGGCTTTTACTTTTGGAAGATTTAATAAATAACCAAGAGCAATCCAGCTGTAAAATTACAAAATGCATCTTTTAAAGATATTATAAATCTAGGAAATTACACAGTACCCAGCTAGATAGCATAGTAGACTTCTAAAAGTAACATGGTAAGATCATAGTAGCATTTTCATAAGTGAGAGCTTAGTTAAACTGTAAAAATTTTAAAAATTCTTTCAAGAACATTTTTTGAAGATTCTTTGTCAGAATGTAGCCTGAAACTTGTAACTACCCATTTTTGAAACCTTAAAGGAAATGTTCAGTGATATACAATGGTTAAATTAATTTACCTGCACACAAAACTTTTAACAATGAAGGTTAAGGGAAATTCTCTAATATGTTGAAAGCTATGTTTAATAACCATTCATACTACAGATTATTGCAGCAATTGGCATATAATATTTTCAATAAAATTCAATGGGCAGGAATATAAAAATATTCAAATTCTCAACACAGGTATTTTATACCTGTTTTGTATAAACAGGATGCACAATTTTCAATGTCATCAGTAAAAAAAAGACAAAAATAAGCCACAGCAGAAAGATGATTTTTTAACAACAAATTATATACTTACAGGAAAAAAACATATGTTACTTCAAGAAAAAACAATGATGAACTTAGCTATTTAATATAGTAAAAAAAAAACCCACATTTTTGCTTGTTTGAAGTTTAGAATTGGTGATGACCTATAAGGGGAACACAAAATTGAATGACTGCACTATATATGATACATAATTAAATGCAGTTTGAAGAATAAAATGAGAAATTAGATGCAAACTGTGTCACTGGATCCTTTAGAAGGAGCAAATCTATACATTCTTGACATTTCAAGCCATTATTTATAATGAGAATAGGGCTATTACAAGAAATCCTCAAAAAAACTATACATGTTCTTAAGAATGTGATTTTAATATATTACATTCCTGTTTTTGGCCTTATATGACTTCCTTCTAAGTACTTGTCAAGTTATCAATTTTAAAATGCTAACCACTTTACAATCATTCTAGCTGCTTCTGCATCTCTACAAACTATTACTTGAATTACAGCCTCTCCTCACTTAGCGATGTACTCATTTACTGACAACTTGGACTTACGGCCAGTTCTCTGACCAGTATGCATACCTAAATAATGTATATTAGACCTGATTTCCTCAATTCTTTTTATTACAATATACAGTACACTGCAGTATAAACATTTAAAAATATACCAGAAATGTTATAAATGGTGCAAAGGCAACATTAAAACAATATCAAAGATGGGTAACACAAACCCACTACAGTATATCATTATAGTATGCTCCTCACCTAGCGACGAATTCATTTACCGACGTGGTCTTAGGAACGGAACTCTGTCATTAAATGAGGAGGGGCTGTATATCATTAACTATCCTTTTGCCATGTAAAGGTCATTGTAAAGCACATCTCCAAGCTATCTTATAAGTCTAGCTTTCTCTCTCTCTCCTTTATATTTTCTTTGTATTTACTTCTTGACCTCTCAACACATACAAATTTTCCATATACATTCTTTTATCTTCACTTTTTGACCTCTCAATACATAAACATTTCCAGAACAGTACAGCAGTTTATTTTAACCTGAATTAAAGATCAGTCTCTTATTCTCTCCCTTATTATGAAGAGCATTTTGTAAAGTAATTTTCCTTATGAAGTGTAGTATTATAAAACACATGATATGAACAAATACCATAGTCAATGACAAATTACTGGACATATTACTGGATTAAATATAAATCAGTAGTACCTTTAAATCACTAATGTTAAATTTAGAAAACTGAATATTTGTCAAAATTATTTTTTCTTCTTTTCAGGAGTCAAATAAAAGCACTCTTAATTTTTCACCACTCATACTTTGTGTATGTACCTTGTATGCATCTATAGAGAGTTTACATTTATTTGGCAAAGAAAGGTGAAGAACTATAGATTTATTATTTACATGTATTAACTGAGTGGATGTCAGACAGAGAAGGAGGAGAAGGGTGGATTAGTGGATGGATGGATAGTCACCAAGCCAATGAGGGAGGCCCCACAGAGGAGGTAGGAAGGGGGGAAGATGTTGGATAAGAGCCAAGGAGGGAGGCCCCTCTGTCTCCCCTCGATGATTCACTGCTGCCCTCCCTGCATGTGTGAAGAACTCATTTTTTTATAGAGAGAGTGTTGAGGATCTGTACTGTAGATTTATTATTTACATTGTGTTAGTTGTTGGGTGGTTGGGTATTATTGGTAAAGAGAGAGAGTGAGTGGGCTGGCATGGGAGCCCAAGAGAGATGTTCCTGTGCATAACATGTTCAGTCAGTGGCTGAGGTGTAGTACCCTGCATCTGAGTACGCTCCTCTCTCACATTCACCTACCCCTCTCACATTTACCCCACCCACCCTCTCATGCATGCTTTCACTCACCCACCCACCCATCTACCCACCCTCTTACATTCATCCATCTACCTACCTACCCCCTTACATTCACCCATTTGCCTACCCACCCTTTCACATTCACCCAACATCCACCCACTCATATTCACCCATGTACCCACCTACCCTCTCACATTCACTCACCTACTCACCCCCACACACCAATATAAACACTCATATCTACCTCTCACACCAACCCTCTCAAGCCCATTCTCTCACATTCACCTACTCAGCTTCACACCCATTTCTCATACCAACCCCTCACCCATTCACCCTAACACCTACCCATGCATCCTCCTGCCTTCTCTCATCCTCACCCTCTTATACCCACCATTTACATCCACCCTCTCTCTCACCTACCCACATTCAAACCCTCTTTCATAACCCCCCACCCCTCACCCTCTCATACCCACTACTCACATACACCCACTCATGCTTTCTGAAAGCCACCTTCTCATACCCACCCACCCATACACACAACCCCACCCACTTCCCTCACATTCCTTTTCACTCCCACCCTCTTTCACATCCATTCCTCCTCACACTCACACCCATCCATCCTCTAACCTATTCTCACTTTCTCTTTCTCACACCATCTTGTACTGTTTTATAGGTTAGAGTGTTCTTTGTGTCTAGTAATGTCTCAAAACTAACGATCATGAAAAATAGATTTCATAATTCAGAAATAAAAGACAATTGGCAATAACATACACCCCCTCCCCCTATTAGTTTGTAAATTAGAGGGTTCACTGTGTCCCTGGTACAGAGTAGTAGAAAGTACTGTGTACGTACTAGGCAAGGGAGCACAGCTATTCTTTTAACACGTGTTATAGTACAGTGGAACCTTGGCTGTCGACTGCATTACTTGTCGAATAAATCGGTTTTTGAATGAGGAATTAGAGAAAAAATGTCCTGGTTTTCATATGTTCTCTCGGTTATTGACTGACAATGTGAACAGCTAGGGTCACGTGCTCAAAGAATGTGCACTGGACAAAGACTCGACCTCGGAACAAGTACTGAAACTCAATCCTTCAAGGCTAGTAGGGGTTGGTTTAATAATTTTAAGAAATGAAGTGGCATTCATAGTGTGGCTATGCATAGGGAGGATGCCAGTGCTAACAAAGTAGCTGTTGAAAAGTATGTTACTGAATTCCAAGAGTATGTAGAGGCTGAGCAGTTTGTCCCCAACAAGTGTTTGATTGTGACGAGACAGGCCTCTTCTGGAAGAAAATGCCTAAAGGACCTACATAACTGAAGAGGAAGTCAATGCCAGGACACAAGCCAATGAAAAACAGGCTCACTCTGTTACTGTCTAGTAACGCAAGTGGGACTTGAAATTGAAGCCCCTACTTGTTTATCATTCCGAAAATCTACGAGTTTCCAAGAAAAACAATGTTATGAAAAACAAACTGGCTGTAATGTGGAGGGCCAACATGAAAACTTGGTTAACAAGACAATTTTTTATTGAGTGGGTTCATGAGGTCTTCATTCTGACTGTCAAAAAGTACCTCATTAAAAAACAATAGCCACTCAGGGCCCTTTTACTTATGGATAATGCTCCTGCTCACCCTCCAAGCTTGGAAAATGAGTTGAAGGGAAGAGTTCACTTTTATAACTGTGAAGTTCTTGCCTCCTAACACCACTCCTCTTATCCAGCCCATGGACTACCAGGTCATTTCTAACTTCAAGAAATTCTACACCAAAGCACTTTTTTGAAAGGTGCTTTGAAATCACTTCAGAAACAAATTTAACCCTCAGAAGGTTCTGGAAGGATCATTTTAATATCCTCACCTGCTTGAGGCTTATAGACAAAGCCTGGGGGAAGTTTTCCAAGACCATGCAGTCAGCATTGGAAGAAATTGTGGCCTGACTTTGTGGCAGCCAGGGATTTTGAAGGCTTTGAAGATGAGCCTGAGCCAGTAGAGGATATTGTGTCCCTGGGAAAGGCCTTGGGCCTAGAGGTGACTGAAGATGATGTGGAGGAGTTTGTGGAAGAGCGCAGAACTGAACTCACCACAGAACTTGTAGACCTTCAGAAGGAGCAGCAACAGATCACAGCAGAGGAGCTATCATCAGAGAAAGAGGAGGGAAGGGATGATGTGCCCATTGCACTTGTAAAGAAAATTTGTGCTAAATGGCATGAAGTACAGGAGTTTGCCGAAAAATACCATCCAGACAAAGCTATGGCCTTCCGACTCTCTAATATGTACAATGACAGTGTAATACCTCAATTTAAACAACTGTTAAAATGGAGCCTGAAACAAACCTCACTGGACAGGTTTTTAGTGAGACAAAGAACCAATGAACCAGAACAGTGTTAGTGGTAAAAAGAGACAAAGAAGAGAAACAACACCAGAAGGACAGTTGCCTGACATATTAACAGAAGGTGACTCTCCTTCCAAGCAGTAACATCTCCCCTTCCTCTTCTCCACCTCCTGCTTCCAGTATGCCATTAGCTCTCCTCTGACAGGTAAGTGGTAGTTACATTTTCATTTACTGTACAGTATTTCGGTTAAAGTTTCTTTTAGTATTCATTTTTAATTTTATGTAGTAGTTAGTACAATTTTAATAAATTATTATAATATCATTTGGGGGTCTGAAAGAGATTGACTCTATTTACATTATTCTTTATGGGAAAAATTGCTTTGGTTGTCATCCATTTTGGTTGTCAAATCGACATCTGGAACGAACTAAATTCGACAACTGAGGTTCCACTGTATTTAACATCAAGGCCCTGGTATGCCAAAAACTTGTTTCATATGGTAAGATAGCCCATAATAATTTATTACAATGCTTCTTTGAACAACTGTAAAACAGACATGTATAAACTTCATTAAAAGCTTGACCATGGGGTGGAAATTTATGGTGCACTTGGCCTTCATCATGAAATGTCCCACAGACGTAGATGCATTCTTCCAATTACTGACTACTACAACACAGGGCAAGCATTCACAAAATGGTATTTAACCTTAATAACCAACAAAGTTGCAATAAAATTAGTCTAGAATTTATTTCCACATTGTATTTATTTTTCAATGGAAGGGTTTGGAAAGTGCTATATGTACATAATAGCCATACAAGCATATGGAATTCTTTAAGAAATTTTTAATGTCCTCTTTCAAGGGTTCATCACTTAAAAACATTGTAAATGTCTGAAGAATCTATATGAAGCTATTAAGGGAATACGGTGTCAAAAATAAATATAGAAAGGCTGGAATAACATACATATATGAGGATAGAGGCAGTGGAATAATATAATACGTATATTTATGAGGCTAGGGGCCATGGTGTATATATTATGAATAGAATTCAAAGAATAGAAATTAGAAGATGGAGTAGGGTTACCAAAGACAAAATTCAGAGGGTTGAGGAGGGGTTGTTGAAGTGGTCTGAGCATTTAGAGAGGATAAAGCAGAATAATTAAGAGGAATTATAAATCCAGAATAGAGGGGAGGAGGAGTAAGGATCCTAGGAAGGGTTGGAAGGAGGGGGTAAATGAAGCTTTGACGGTTAACTGCTTGAGCATCCAGCAGACTTGCGTATGTTAGAGTAAAGTGAATGGAGACAAGTGATTTTTTATGGCTTGATGTACTGTTAAAGTCTGAGCAAGGTAACATTTGAAAGGATTAAAGGAAACCGGTTAGTCAGACTTAAGTTCTGGAGGAACAAAGTACGTACAGTGCCTGCAGTCTAAAGAGTGAGGATATTGCAGTTCAGAGGGTCATTTCAAATGTGATGTCTGTACACTTCTGACAAGACAGCTACTGAATGTGTGATGGTGAATGTTTCCTTTTTGGGTCACCCTATCTTGGTGGGAGATAGCTGGTGTGTTAATTACCTTTATAAATAACCGATAATAAATATGTATGTAGAGGTACAATTACTGAAAGAATGACTAATGGAATAAACATATATGAAAATGAAAAACCTTGAATGAAAGAACAAATGACAGGTACTGTAAATTATTTCTATATTTTCCATTTAACTACAAATCCTTTCTAGGCTAACATATAGTACAACTTCAAAAAATACGTGTACTAACAAAAATCTTCATGCATCACTTACTGATTAGTCTTTGCACAATTATCTATACAATATATATAAAAAAAATTTCAACACAATTACTGGTTTGTGGAGTTGGCAAATTTTTTTCTCTGGTTCTCCATTTTTGTCTTATGACTAGTCAGAAATGACTGAAATGACTCTAATTCTTTCTTCTCTTCAGTGTCATCTTCATCCAGTTCTTCTCTTTCTTCTTCACTTTCAGATGCATGAGACAGGAAAATATCAGTGTCTTCTCTGTAAAGATGAAAAAGTTCAATTATCAAATAAAAGCACTATGATACAGAATACGGAATGCTGAAGGGACATCAACACAGGTATGCCTACTGCAAACTACAATACATCTCTTGATGCATAATTCGATAACCCTAAGGAAATACTAGTGGTCATAAAATTCCAATGCAGCAATACAATGGCCATCTCCCATCACCCGAGGCAGGGTGACCTGAGAACACATCTTAGTCACCTCTTAGAACATACACAGCTTACAGAGGAAGGATTCTTCTCCACATCACCATGGAGATGCAACAAAATAATTTTTTTTAACTAACCATCTGTCTCCTACTAAGGCAGGGTGACCCCCCCCCCCAAAAAAAAAGAAGAAATACTTTCACCATCACTCACTCCATCAATCTCTTGCCAAAGGGTGGCGATAATACAGTTCAAAACCGAAAATATCCCCACCCCTCCTTCAGAATGCAGACACTGTACTTCTCACCTCCAGGACTCAAGTCTGCCTAAAAAGTTTATTTCAGAATGATACATGTTTGTACAAAGGAGTATAACAATTGGGTGTACATAACAAAAGCTTCTTCATATGCAGAGTATTTTGAACAAACTTAAGACTAACTGAAGATTAATAAGGCAAAGACAGTGCAGTAATTTTGTACATATGGTCATTAGGTGAGTTTATAATGAATACAAGAAAATTGAATATTTTATTAGTTGATGCTATATGGTTTTAATAAGTTTGGTAATAAGTTGTTCAATATATTTACAGATAGGGTTGTAAGAGAAGTGAATGGTAGGGTCTTGGCAAGAGGTGTGGAGTTAAAAGATAAAGAATCAAACACAAAGTGGGAGTTGTCACAGTTGCTCTTTGCTGATGACACGGTGGTTTTGGGAGATTCTGAAGAGAAGTTGCAGAGTTTGGTGGATGAATTTGGTAGGGTATGTAAAAGAAGAAAATTAAAAGTGAATATAGGAAAGAGTACAGCTATGAGGATAACAAAAAGATTAGTTGATGAAAGACTGGATATCAGATTGGAGGGAGAGAGTATGGAGGAGGTGAATGTATCCAGATATTTAGGGGTGGACGTGTCAGCAGATGGGTCTATGAAGGATGAGGTGAATCACAGAATTGATGAGGGGAAAAGGGTGAGTGATGCACTTATGAGTCTGTGGAGACAAAGAGCTTTGTCGGTGGAAGCAAAAAGGGGAATGCATGAGAGTATAGTTGTACCAACACTCTTGTATGGGTGTGAAGCATGGGTGATGAATGTTGCAATGAAGAGAAGGCTGGAGGCAGTGGAGATGTCATGTCTGAGGGCAATGTGTGGTGTGAATATAATGCAGAGAATTCGTAGTTCAGAAGTTAGGAGAAGGTGTGGGATTACCAAAACTATTATCCAGAGGGCTGAGGAGGGGTTGTTGAGGTGGTTCAGACATGTAGAGAGAATGAAACAAAACAGAATGACTTTGAGAGTGTATAAATCTGTAGTGGAGGGAAGGCGGGGTAGGCATCGGCCTAGGAAGGGTTGGAGGGACGGAGTAAAAGAGGTTTTGTGTGTGAGGGGCTTGGACTTCCAGTGAGCGTGCATGAGCGTATTTGATTGGAGTGAATGGAGACAAATGGTTTTTAATACTTGACGTGCTGTTGGAGTGTGAGCAAAGTAACATTTATGAAGGGATTCAGGGAAACCAGTAGGCCGGACTTGAGTCCTAGAGATGGGAAGCACAGTGTCTACACTCTGAAGGAGGGGTGTTAATGTTGCAGTTTTATAACTGTAGTGTAAAGCACCCCTCTGGCAAGACAGAGATGGAGTGAATGATGATGAAAGCTTTTTCTTTCTCGGGCCACCCTGCCTTGGTGGGAATCGGCCGATGTGTTAATAAAATAAATAAAAAAGTTTGGTAGAGAAGAATTGCAGTTCTGATTATTAACCTAAGGCAGACACAATGAAATGATTAACATTTGAGATAGTGAGAGTAAGTATATATTGATTATAATGTTTTACCTACAGTGCTAGTCACAGCATAATGCTGGGTGAGCGCCCCAGCATAATGCCGTGACGAAAATCAAAGGCTACCATACAGGGGGGCTTTTTCGTCAGTGCATTATGCCGGGTAGCAGCCATTAGCATGACGTCACAGCCTGCTGCCACACTCCACAGTGACTCCTCAGTGCTCATGTGGCTGCCATGGTGAGAGGAAGTGTTGCACTTTTGTCTCTCATCCACCCCATCTTATGTCCAGTGTTCCCTTTGGTTTTTGGGGCTATACATGTTTGATTATGGGTAAAAGGAAGTCTTTAACACCTGAAACTATTGCTCAAATCACAGGGTTTCACAAAGCTGGGCACTAGACAAAAGAAGTAGTGGAGAATGTTGGTTTGTGTTAGCATTCATTGACGAACTGGGTGCAGCATTTCAAGGCTGGTGGTGGTGTTGAGTTACTGTCTGCCAAACCTCGGCCTGGTCCCTCGAAGAAGACATCTGTTCGTACCTTACCTGTGTTAAAGAAGCAGTTAGAGAGTACACCTAAGATAACTGCTAGAGAGTTGAAAGAAAAAACCCACATCTTTTCTCAGATGTGTCTGTAAGAACTGTTAATAGATGTGTGTCAGAACTGGGCTACAGTAGTCACCGCCAGGCTAAGAAACTGATCCTCTCCAAGCCACAGAAGAAATGTAGGCTGCATTATGCAAAGAAATATCTTCACTGGAATCCTCAACAGTGGTCTGAAGTACTTTGGAGTGATGAAGCAAACTTCACCGTCACCTGTAACCGTGGGGGACATGTGTACCGGCCCAGAGGTAGTGATCCACTAGACCCACGCTACACCTGTGGGACCACCAAACACCCAGACTTGCTCAGGGGTGTTTCAGTGCTCAGAGTGTTGGTGAACTCATTGTGCTTCCTCAAAACCAGTATATGAACCAGTATAATTATCTGGAGTTATTGTGTGACAATTTACCTGAGGCATTTGACAAGTGTGGGGCAACGGTTTTTATGCAGGATGGTGCACTGTGTCATACCACCAAATCTGTAGTTCACTGGTTTAAGAACTGTGAAGTGAGGTTCTTTAATGACTGGCCAGGCAATTCCCCAGACCCAAACCCTATTGAGAACCTCTGGTCAATAATGAAATGAAGTTTAACCCTTAGAGGGTCGACAGGCCCTCTCCGAGACTTGTTCTCAGGGTCGGCCAAATTTCAAAAAATAAAAAAATATTGTTTCGTATGAAAAGATAGAGAATCTTTTCCCGATCATAATGTCACCAAAAGTATGAAATTTGATGGAAAACTTACGGAATTATGCTCTCGCGAAGTTAGCAGTCTCGACGATGTTTACGCATCGGCGATTTTGCCCACTTTGATCTCTATTTTTGGCCAATTCCAATGTACTAGTTGACAAAAATCATAACTATTTCACTAGAACTCTATTTTTTGTATCGAATGAGTACAAGAAGCCACCCATTTACCGATTTCAACTATCCAATAAAGTGGTCAGAAATTAGCAATTTTGCCAATTTCACACAAATTTTAAAAGATGCCAATTTCCGAATAGGGTCCAGAATAAACAAGAAAGGCATTCCTGGCACTAAAATAACAAGTTCTCTGTTCGTTAGTCACACCCCCAGGCTCCTCTTATATTTCTTTGGCTTTCCACATTCAATTTTTATTCTTACAAAAAATAGAAGATTTACTGTTATGAAGACTACTGCATTAGTGTAGAAATGATATAAATAATATCAGTGCACTTGTGAAAGAATATTAGACTCACCAGTTGACGTGTATTGGACGCTTGGCATGATTTGTTTACTTTTGAACTTTGGTAAAAATCGAACATTACTGCTACTTTGAGCTCAATTTCAAGGTACTTTTCATTGTAAAACCAGACAACATCATCTCAATTTCTGTAATATGTCTTCCATTCTATAAAATGAGACCAAGAAAACTAGAATACAACAATAAATATCATACGAAAATACAGTGCAAAGTCGCTGTTTTATTCCAAAAATACGGTCAAAGTTTTTTTTTTCTCATTATGCACTGTGTGCTGCAGGATTTTTTTTATACTGCGCACACTGACCACATAGACCCATTCTTTCATATGTAGGCCTACCAGCTTTCTCCCACTAGATTTGAAGGCGCTAGAATTTAGGCGTACTAGTACGTCAAAAACCCTGGGTCGTAAGCCGTACTAGTACGGCCGAAACCCCCAAAGAGTTAATGGGCAAGGATATCAGTTCCATCTCGTGGCTGGAGGTTGCTCTACATACACGAGGCATGGAATATACCTCCCCAAACCCTCAAGAATTTGTGTAAGAGTCTTCCTACATGGCTGAGGGAAATGATTAAGAGTAAAGGATGCAGCAAAAAGCATTAAAACCACAGTAAGCATGCAAATATATATACATATTACAATCTTTCATGGTATGTGTCTGTGTTTCGGTACATGTGTGGAGAAGAGGTGGCATAATGCCGTGACCAGCACTGTATGTTCATGATGTTGAGAAAATGCATGTATAGTTTTTACATACGTATTTACGATGAGCTGGGATAGTTTAAGGAGTTAAGGTTTTTTTAACTGTAGTTTTAAAAATGCTAGCTGATTCAGTAGTTCTGGAGATTTCTGGTAGTTTTCCAGATTTTGGGCCCTTTTATGTACATTGAGTTTTTGAAAAGATTTAGCCTGACATGGGGAATGTCAGAGATTTTTGTGCCTAGTATTATGTCTGAGTCCTATTGCAACTGTCAGGAAAGCACTTCGGGTCAGGATTTATATTAGAATTGATTGTTCTGTAAATGTAGTTTGCACAGTAGTATGAGTGAATGTTTTGTATAATGAGTAGTTTTAGGTCTTTGAAGAGTGGGGGGTGGGGGTTGTCTAGTAGTGGATTGTTTGATCATTCGCATTGCAGCTTTTTGTTGGGTTATTATTGGCTCTAGGTGACTTGACATTGTAGAGCCTCAGGCACAAATAACATAGGTGAGGTAGGGGTAAATCAGTGAA